GTTCTGTAAAATTTGTTCAGTTTTATATGCAAATTTTCAGTAAAGAAATCAAGCTATCAGTATAAAATCCAATGTTCGGTAACTATTATGTTTGTTTAGTTAATTAATTGTTTGCTCAGTAAATTAATAAACTGCTCAGTATTAAAATTACAGTTTCAGTAATCAATTCAGTTTGTTGAGTCAAAAATTCATTTACTCAGTAACAAGTAGTATTTTCATCAGTAATCACTTTTATTTTGTCGATGAAAATATTTTGATGTAAATAGAAGAACAGTTGTTCGATATTTTAGTTACATATGAAGATGAATATATTGCATTCTCTCCTTGTTCTCAATTTAACAAAGGAGAAGAAGATTCTCAATATCGTCTCCTTGTTTACCCCTCTGCATATCCATATATAAATAGCGCATTTTTTCTAAATAAGTTGAACTTTGGTTTACCAAAACTTTTATTACTAATTTGATTTAAAAAGGCTACTATTTAAAAGCTAAGTAAAAAATGTCACTTTTGCTAAGTAGGATGTGGGTGTGAGATTTTGATACCTTCTTCACCCACTTGCACACCCTTCTGTGAATTACAATCACACGTTTTTTTACTGAAATTAATGAATGAAAAAACTGAACAAAAATAATTTAAATACTACAAAAATATATTAAATACTGAATTTTTTTTTAAATTAATCATTGAACTTCTTGAATTATTTACTGAACAAGAACTACTGAACATGTGATAAAAAATTTACTGAGTATTCATAATAAAATACTGAACAATTAAATACAAGCCATTTCTTTTTATTAAAACAAAATCGCGCTTTTTATAGAAAAATACTTTTCTAGGAAAAAATCTTTTGTTTTAAGAAAACCAAATTTTTTCAGAAAAAAATCATCTGAAAAAATCGGACTCAAAATTTTGAAAACCTGATTACAGATTCGGATTTGTCAACTTCAATTTACTTTCGTCAATCTTTACAAAATATCGTTTTTTTCTCGAAAAATTCTTTCCTTAGTGACAATCAGCGTGAATCGGTAACCGTAGATACGGTTATCGTAACAGGACCAATAACTATAGCTACGGTCATCGGCTTTCATCGGTGAAACAGTGACGGTATACCGGTGATTGACCATCACTGTTGCATCCCTAGATACGAAAAGTAATCCTAGTCAGAAGAGTCGCTCACTCTTTTCAGAAGGACGGTCTTTCCGTCAACAGCTGAAACTTCAGTTATTGACTGATCAAATGAATAATCTAATTACTTGAATACTCGAATATAACCTTAATGGAATTTTATTATCTTCTCTGTCTTTGGAAATTATTGAAATGTACTACATATTTTGCCAACAATCAAAATAGTCGAAAGGCATTTAAAAAACCTTCTATCCGTAAAACTTCTAATTACATATTATATTATTCTGAAGGTTTCATGAATCGAATATATATCAAGAGCGCTGGTCATGGGGCTCCTCTGACTGTCGGATGAAAGTTCAGCTCTGTCTCCGTGACATACAATTTCAGAAATACAATCAAAAATAATGGCAAATGTATGCATGAACGAAGGTGTAATTGTATGTGCAACTATACGTATACATGTGAGTGCATGTTTGATGATAGCGAAGTCAAAGTTTTTGATTTCAATTGCGAAAATCTTCGTTATCGCAGCCTCGATTAGGACACAGGAGAACATCCAAGCTTTTTGAGTAGCGTAGATACACTTTTTTGTCCTACTTGTTAATGAAAATGTCTGTCTCATTGTTTTTTTTAAACTTATTTATGAACCTTTATAGATTAGTGCGTTTTTGCCAAGGGCTAAAAAGTCAACTTTCACTACTCCGAAGTTAAGTGAAGAATTGTACTTCGTTTGTACTTGAACGTACTTCACTGTATTTCACTTGTAATCCACTCGTACTTCAGAGTATCAAAATGTCACTTTTCGTCCTAGAGTCACATTCATATCCCTACACAATCATCGTCAACTGCAGCTACACTCTACTCACAATCAAAGAAAAGTTTCGCCTCAAAATGCCCCATATCGCAGCTATACCCCAGCATCAAAATCGCCGTTGATACAATTCTTAGTCGTTATCAGCATGCATTTTCTTTAAAACATAATGCCCTTTAGGATAGCATAGTGCTGAGCAGACTGGTTTTATCTTCTTCAAGATGACGTAGTCTTTTGAGATAATTATATTTCTATGCAATAAGTGTCAACGTAAAAGCGAAGTGATTAGTAGGACTACCAAGTGATGCTTCTCTGGCCTACTTTTAACTGGTCAATGTTTCTTTAAACATGTTGTCAAATTTTCGACGCCATCTTACTGAACGTAACCTTACAAATTGTAGTTTAATCTAAATGCATGCTGCTACGAAATACGTTTCAATGATAATGAATACTGCCGAATACTATATTTACCATGCTGTGCACTACAGTTTAATAGAAATGTATACCGCTGAGCACTATGCCATCCTACTGTGCTGCACTACGATTTAATGAAAATGTATACCACTGAGCACCACAAATCGTACCAACTTTTCATAAAATTTTGGATTTTGAGAGAAGTCAATGAGAAAAAGTTGGGCCCGGTCGAAAAGTTATCAAAATCTAGATCGAGTCGAACGTTCGAGTCAAAAACTCCTTGGACAGAAATTCAGGCCTCCGATCTGATCTGTTAACAACTGGAGTTTCAGCGTTTCATGAAAAGACTTTTCTTCAAAAAAGAGTGAGCGAATTTTTTGACGAACGTTGTCAGCACATACGATGGCATCTAGTGTTTTTAGAGACAGATATAGCAATCGGGAGTTAATTGTGCAGGATATCCGCTGCTCTCAAGACAGACTATCTTACATCTTACCCAAAAAGCAAAGCATACACAGTATATTTAGTTGAATAAAGTAACATTTTGTTTTCAATATAGATGTATGTTTAATTAGAAAAACAATTAATCTAAGTTATTCTATTATTTTAAAATATATTTTGTCTTTGATACTCCAATCCTTCTCTGATGATGTCAGAAAAAGACAATATCTGTATAGTATACTATCTTTTTTCTTTTTAAAATATATTGTGTGTTAGACAAAAAAGTAGGATTTTCTTTCTTATTTTTTGCGTACGCTATTCAAAATAATATTGTTTTTGCACACTTTAATTTACTGTACCCGTGATAAAAAAGTGTACACATAGGGCTGCCTAAGTCAAACCATTGTCGTGTTGGATCGACTCAAGTTGTTTCTGCTACTTTTTCGTTCTTTATTTCTTTTTACAAAACGTTAACAACAAGTTTTTCCTTACATGATTTCTACTCCCTAATTTCTATGCTCAACAAAATTAGACCAATCACATATAAACTAGAATGACATAACCGCTCTAGATTTATCAACAAAATAAGAACAATAGAATTAGTGCATTTCTTTATAAATTCCCACATCACAATAAAAACACAATATTGCTAACAAAGAGGGTATGGATGATGCAGGACATCTTAGGTCCAGATCCGAGTATTTTTCGGGCTCATTCGCCCAGAGAACTGTTGCAACAAAGGGTGGAGTGTGGGTGTGGGTGCGAGTCTTCTTCTCAACCACACCCACACACCCATACACCCACGCCCACATCCCACACACCTACCCACACCCACATCCCACCCTCAGTTTATTTTTAAAATAATTAAAAAATTAAGAACAACATTAACCGGAATAGTTAGCAACACGTTCAAGTTTGTAGAAGAAATTTCCGGAATGAAACTTCAAACGAATGAACAACTAGCAAGTCTAGATACATGTGATTTAGACACAAATGTACGTGTAGATGAAGCTGTAGATATCATCATAGATAAACTTGTACAATCAAAGACATTAGACAACAGTAACTTAAAGATAACAGATGTTAGAAATCTATTATTATTATCATTAAAAAAAACAGCTACTTTCAATTCAATAATAAATTTTATAAGCAGAAAAATGGATTATCAATGGACAATACACTAAGACCCCGTATTGCCAACATTTATATGGATTCTTATTCAAAACAACATTTGCAACAAATTGATATGCCTTCAAAGATATGGCGTTATGTAGACGACATTTTAATTATAATAACAGTGAACGAAAAAGAATTAAGTAATTATATTAATAACTTAAATAACATACAAGGAACCATACAATTCACGCATGAATATGAAAAAAAAACAAACTTAATTTTCTGGACACGACATTAATAAAACAAACAATTAATAATGACCAATAAATTAACATTAGATGGTTTAGAAAGGATACTGTAGCTAATCACTTCCTCAATTATCATTCTAGTCATTGAAAAATCCATAAAAACCAATATCGTTAAAAATATGACTAAAAGAATTATCCATACGACGAAAGATGCAACAGAACAACAAAAAGATCTCAAGAAATTAAAAGACATTTTTATTAATTCTAATTATCCAATTAAAGAAATTGACAGACTTATGACAGAAGCATGTAATATATCAAATACAAATAATTCTTCAACAACCAACACTAATGATTTTAAATTTAGCATTAGTTTACCATATGTTCCTGGAATTGAAGTCCTTAAAAGAAGATTAGAAAAATTAAAAATTAAACTGTACTTTTCTTATCCACAAAAGATACAATCATATGTAAATCGATCAATGAAAGTACCATCAAAATCTGTAGTTTATCAATTTCAATGTGAGTGTAATCCACCAAAAATTTATAATGGTGAAACGAAAGTTGGTATAAAAAAGCGAATGCACCAACATTTTCAACTGATTAACAAACTTGATAATAAATCAGAAATGGTTCAACAGATTGAAGAAACACTTAATCAATGTTTATTTAATACTGAACAAGTATTTATAGTTGAACAAGAAAAGAGCTGGAATAAAAGGCGAATAAAAGAAACAATTTATTCATTAATAAATGACTCAATTAATAAACATGATCGTCTTAGTGAAGCTTGGGATCCAATTCTTTTCAAAGTGAAACAACAAATTCATAGAAAAATCCAATAAAAACATTCAAACACCAACAGCTGATTTAGCTGGAACAAGACGGTAATAGTGATACAGAAATGAACCTTCAATTCAGACTATTACTGCTACCGTCTTGTTCTGTATCACTAGTAAATGAAATAAAAACGAACGGACTAGTCTATTTCATTTGTTTCTTTGTAAATGTGTTACTATATATGTATGTCTCTTGTAAAAATGCTTTTGTCTGATGAAGTTGTAAACTACAACGAAACGTCACATCATTTTAAACAAAAATAAATAAAAAGCCAACACTTAGTTAAATAAAAATTATTTAATTAATGAGAAAGAGAATTTATAAATGTCAACAAATGACGTGAAATGTTTTTGGGATATTTCTTTTTCTCCAAACAATTCACTTCATTCGCAGATATTATCTTTGTAAAGAATTTCTTCTCTCTTCCATTTATAGACTTAATTAAATGTGTGCATCCAGATTTTTCTTTTCTTTTCTTAGTGTGTGTGTTAGACAAGAAGCAAATAAGTACAGACTTATCTGAACATAAATTTTAAGCATGTCGTCTAATGTGGTCGTCGCATCAAGCATTGCTCAACTTCAACTCATATCACAATATGTTAACACAACAATTGGGTTTCTCATACTCTCCTTTGGAGTTGTAGGAAATCTTCTGAATATTCTTACATTCATTACATTAGGAAATTACAAACACAATGCGAGTTCACTTTATCTTCTCGCTAAATCCTTTTTCGATTTGACTGCACTCTTCATGAGTCTTTTCACGCTGATTCTTAATCGTGGACTTCGTATTGATTCTATGTCGACAAATTTTGTGTGGTGCAAAACTCGAATTCCTCTTATCTACATTAACGCATTCAGTTCGTATACATGTCTCTGTCTCCAAGCGATTGATACATTCTTGGCTACATCGAATTCTGTGTATTTGCGTCAGAAGAGCAATGTTCGAACAGCTCGCATCTTAATCATAGGATTTCTTTTCCTTTGGATAGGACATGAAATAACTTATTTCTTTTTTCAAGATCTAATCAATTTAAGATGTGTATCCACCAATGCTGCATATACTCAATATCGTACCTATTTCATTGCTTTTGGATTCTTCACAATCATTCCTATTGGCATAGTCTCCATATTTGGGTATTTCTCTTATCGTCATGTTCATAGTCAGCTCTTTCAACACACACAGCGTCCTCTATCGAGACTGACAAGACAAATGACAAACATGGCTCTATTTCAAATAATCAATGTCGTAGCCTTTTCAACTCCCTTTGCCATAGTACAAGCTTATTTTCTTGCTAGTGCCAATTTTAACAAGAATTCTTATCGTCAAGCACAGGAACAATTTGCTCAACTTTTCTTTAATGTCTTGCTGGCTGGCCTCTATGCGGTAAGATTTACTCATCCTATTTCATACAACATATTATAAGAAGTGTTTTTTAGAGCCCCTTTTATTGCTATTGTGCAGCTTCAAAACGATACAGGAAACAAGCTTTAAATGCCGTCAAGAAGATGTTCAAATGCGGGAGAAACCAAAGAAGGAATCGTGTCACACCAGTTAGAGAAAACTTCCGTTTGACAACAACATTTCAAAAGCGAACAATAACCGCTCACTGACGAACATCTGTCTTTCTCTTTCATCTGTAACATTTTTCAAATCTTTTAAAAATACACTGGTTATAATGTGACTCACTTATACATCTTTGTTTTTCTTTCGTTTACCTTTTGATATTTTTTTAACATCAGTGAATGAGCGACTTTTGATGACATGAAAATTTTTATTTTAACAGTAGTGAATATCTGTAATTGACAATGTCGTAAAGAAAGACTACCAGAGATAACAGAATTTACTTTTGCAGATTCATTGTCAATTACAGATATTCGCTGCTGTTAAAATAAAAATTTTCATGATATTTTTTAACCGTTCTCTTCTCTTTATGTCGTTCTAGAATTTTTCCCTCATGTTTTACTTGTGTTCAAAATCAAGAATACTCATTTCGAAAACAGGTGGAAACAATGCCATAAATTATGTATATATCGTACTGCTGTCCAAAAATGCCTAACCGTTTTTCAGATGAAAAAAATATCAGAAGCTCAAACAGCACTGTTTACGATTGAAAAAAAAGCAGGTCTTTCCAAACCTTCGAAGAATCCTGTGCTTGCTATATTGAACTGTCATTATCTCTTGTAACATTGCTCTTAATTATGACAATGCAATATAATACTGGGAAATATGTTGAATCACCCTGTGTTTTGTTAATTAATGTTAAAAATTTACAAATACATAAAAAAATATTTTGTTGGTTGTTGGTACTTATAAACATTTTCTCATAGGTCTTATTCCTGATCGTACCTTCAATGTTACTTCTCTTTCCCGTGTTAATTCAAATACATAATTTCCATCTCATATTAAATTGTTTAACTCTTAAAAACCGAGACTCGTCCGATCTCTTCTCAAAAGATAACTATATCTCCCTAGAATTCAGTGCACACTATCGTCTACTGACATGTCTTCACTAAGCAGCACAGCGCACCGTACTAAGCATGCATCGAGCCCGAGCTTCTCGAACTCGGTCGGTCTTAGTATTATACTCTTAAATGAACTTTTGTTTGTCGTTTTCGCATGTGTCATAGTCAAATCTGCTTCAGGATTGTTTCAGTACATGTAACTAAAGAACTTTTCTACCGAAAACATGCTCTTATAATTCAGCTTTATAACCTTTAATTCTTCCTCTGATTGGACTCATACAGACTTTAGGAAAACCAACTTGGATTACAGATGTACCCATGTAAAAAAGATCATAAAATTTTCGATTAAAACTCAATTTTAATGGCACTGTTTTCATCCGATTAAAGTTGGATTTTTCAGATTTGATGAGAGATTTCATGTGACTTTAATCTTTTTTCATCGATTAAAATCGATTGATGAAATTTCTCAATTGAAATCGGTTTCAGATAATAATTTTTAATCGATTTTAATCGGAAATTTTACGACTTTTTTTTAGATGGGTAATGGCTTTTTCCATAAATTATTTTTCTGAACACCTTCCCAAATGACATTAGGGAAGAGGGCAAAAAAAGTGAAACCGTGACACGAATAGAATTCAGTGTGATTTTTTTCAAATTAAAAATCGTCAATAATCCATATTTGTTCAAAACCAAAGCTCAGAGACGCTGCATGATTTTCTCATGATTTCACTCAGGTTTAAAGCTTATTTAGAAACGAAAAATGCCACTATCTGAAAAGTCTGATTTGGTTGGGAATTCCCATATAAGGTTTCATGGCGATAAAAATCGCACAAAATGGGATATTTAAACGGTTCTTTTATCGTGAACTTTGTTTCTCAAAAAGCCAAAGTGATGAAAGATGTGACATATTCAGGAAGACAGGAATACAGAATATGCAAAAAGTGCCTTCTATTAAAGATGTTTTGGTAGATTTTGCCTCTCCATTTGTATGTACAACATCCACGATCTTCTGGATATGTGGCACTACTAAAAAATGACAAGATTTGAAGAAGTAGAGAAAGATTGAGCTTGATTAACACCGAGCCTGAGCCAGACCGACCCGAGCTACGCAGTTTAGGATCGGACTCGGTACATCCCTAAGCGTCCCATCGAAAATGCTTGAAAAAATATTCGACATTCGTGAAGTTATTGATAAGAAAGCTGTCATTCGTTCTTTATTTCGCACTCAAACCAATATACTGTTTCCACGTTTGTCGCTCAGATTCTAGCAGACTTTTGTTGAACAATATCATTCGTTGTTGATTCTTTCAGGGTCAATCAATTGTTAAATGTGTTCATTAGTAATTGACATGTCGATATCACTGCTGAAAATGAAAAATACATTATTGCTAGACATCTACGTCGTTTTTCTTCATCTAATTGTGCAGAACGACTTGGATAAGATGATATCACTAGTTGTTTGCTGTTCGATGGATTTTGTTAATTTAAACTAAAAAATTCATCTGTGGAGAAATTGAAAATGCACTATTTGTGAAAATGTGGTGAAATGAAAGTAATTATACGATCTAGTTTGCAACAGGTAGAGGATGGGAGGGTGGGTGAATGAAGAAGAGAAAATCATCCTAACCCAACCACCCACCTTCGCTTCCACCCACCAGGGCAGTCCTGTCCTAATGACAGTCTCTGTTATCTATCGTCAGCTGTTTTCACAGCTGTAAAACATTGGTTGAAAGAGAATGGCGCCTAACTTTTCTTGTAACATGCGTTTTAATTAATGCGGTGCGAAGCACTTATCTTGAGGTTCGTCGCGAGTTTTCTTTATTTCTTTCCCGACATAGGCATCGAAGTTGTCATTTTGTGAGGCGATGATCTCATGAAAGGAAAGTCAGAAAATATCGTTTGAAACGCGAGATCAAGATATGGGCATCCAACCTATATCATTCTTTTTTGGGTGTGAGTGTGAGTAGGTGTGCGAGTGTCTGAATGTGAGTATACATACAAAGAACATTCATCCATGTTTATCTTACTCGCCACACCTATAACCGCGTTTACACTCAACATCACATCCACCGCATCGACACTCACGCTCTCAACCTTACCCTCACCCACACCCATCACCTCAGCAATATATCAGAATTTGAAAATCGAACAAATTTCTATTCATATTCATTTCCATAGTTCTCATTGCATAAAATCAATTACTTTTATTTCATGCAATTATTTCAATGACGACGTTCTACAGTATTTTCGCTTTTCTTTCCATATGCATCAATATTCTCTATTTATGATTTTTTTTTACAAAAACACATGCATAAGTTAGTGAGCATACTTTTATTCGTAACAACGTGTCCACTGATATTGATTTCGAACTAGTATTCTCCTTTATTCTTTTCTCTCAATTATAATACCCTTAATCTATTTTTCTTCATGTTTTATTTCAATATTTAAGGATTATCTGTCTGCGAAAAATAGTCTTTTACAGATTTAATACATTTATATCTATCAACTAGATATAAGGGACCCAGTTTGGCACAATTGATTCGCGTTGCATCTCTTGTGAAATTTTCTGTAATCCTTTTCATTACTGCATAACAGACAATAAGATGAACATTATTCGGCATAAACACTTTCGTATGAAGTAGAAATTGTTCCATATCATCATCATAAGCTTGAAGAAGACTGAGACGAGTAAGATGAGGATATTTAATAATTGATAAATCTTGATTCTCGTTATTTAATTTTCTATATAATTTATTCTTCTGTGGTTCTCCATTCATTATAGTTAATTCCTTCATAAATGGAAATGATTGAGCAATTTGAAGAAAAAATTCATGTTCAAATGGACGTTCATCAAATACCGATACTCTATAAACATTTTTAAATAATTCACCTGGAAAATTATTTGAAATATTATTATAATAATTCATTCGATATGGATATGAAAAATTTGACAATAACTATATCGTTTTTCTTGGTAATAATCAATACAAGAAATAATTTGATTACTTTTAAAATCGTTGAATGTATATTGAATATCTTCATTTGAAGGTATATTTATTTGATCAGAATGATGATTGAATAAACGAATATTAAATGTAAATTTATTTAATTTTGGCATATTATTGATAATATCTTTGAAATCATTTCCATTAATAAATCCTTTATTACGATACATCAGAAATTCTAAATCAAATTTTTCTAAATTCATCATTCGATGTAGAAGTGGTACAATTAATTCACCATAATAATGTACATGCATATCAGAATATAACGAAAAACATTTTAGATTAGGTAGTTTTTCCTAGAAAAGACAAATAACATTCAATTCAATTCATTGGATATTAACCAGAAATAATTTACCCCATTATGAATTGTTTGAACTGATGCATTGAATCATCATAATATTAACATGGCATGTATGAAGTTGATTAAAAGTCCATCAAGTAAATAAAGCAAATCAGTGAAATAACCCATGTAAAAAAACAGCCTAAAAATCCGATTTAAACTGATTTTTCTGAGAATAATCGGTAAACATCGCTTAAAAGCAGCAATTTCGATTAAATTCGTGTAAAAAATCAATTATACTCGATTTAGCACATCTAAAACTCAATTAAAGGGTGTGGGTGTGGGATGTGGGTGTTTGAGAGTGTGTGTGCGTGTGAGTCTTCTTCTCAACCACACCCCATATCCTCTCGCGCCGACACTCACACCGTGACCTCTTCGTGTTGCCCCTGCCTTCTAATCGTTTTAATTCTTTTTTATTGTTTGATGTTATAATAAATGAAGATGAGTCAAAATGATTACTACAAACTCTCTGATTAGATACATGATTCAAATCAAGTCGGTTCAGTAATCTGAGCCATATTCGTTGCAAATTTTTATCAGTTGTAAATTGATGAAAAGAAGAATTATTAGATCGGATCTTTTGTTTCAGACAAGCAACACATCGTTTTACCATTTTGCCAATGAAAATGATGATTCAACTCAAAATGATACACTTCAGGACAGTAACATAATCTCATTTATCAGTACAAAGTTGATAATCAATAGCACGGTATACTCATTAACAAGAATGACAACATTACCAGTCGTAAGCTAATTAGTGATGCATATAGGTCGGCTCCTTATATTGTAATTAATCTTGTTAGAAATATCAATGAGTAGCAGTAGAAAGGAAAAAATCATCTTATGGTTGATTCACTTTCACATTTCTTACAGTAAATGAGCATGTCATATTCATTATCATCTCGTCATTTCTATTGTTGATTATAAAAAACCATTTAATATCGATTTGGGTTCAATCACAGGATACTTTTCATTTGTGTTAGCTAGTGATGGAAATCTCGGTCGAGAACCATTAAAAAATAGAAATCTTCTATTCAAAGATCATTTTGTTCATAATATTACTATTACTCGAGATTATATAAAAAGAACAATATCAACCAAGTGTCGTGCTCCGATAAAAAAATCAATCATATATCAAATAAGCCCATACAGCTACATTTTGTACACTTAATTTTTTTTTCTAGTTGCATATGATAATAAATATCAATCGACCTGCTGACATTTTAGAAGCAACATGCCAATGTGTTGCTGAAAAAGGTGGACGAGTAGCATGTAAACATCTTGCTGCATTATGTTTTCCATTATTAGATTATGATCAAAATAAACTTTATGAAGCTTGTACATAACGTTTACAACAATGGCACCAAACAACGCGTAAATCTTCGAATCTAGTGAATTTCTTAGATATAAATTTCACTTGTCACAAACACAATGAAGCTGAAGAAAATAAATCAAAATATTTATAATTTCTTCAAACAGATGTTTATGCACCTGAAGCAACTACAGCTTTACGTCAACTACTCATATAATACAATCAACAAACCACTGCTACTGCTTCCATTCGTTTACCACAGCAAACTTTTATTGGTCGGATACCATTTCTCGCGCGTGTTAGTACTCAAGATCCACTACCATCACAACAAAACTTAGCATATGCTAGCGAGCTGATAGAAAAAGAGATAGATAGATAAAAGCGAAGGAACCGCCTATTTTTATCCATTTTCGTGGCCAACAAGCGAACTATGAATAAAGCTCAGTATATGAAGGCAAGATTCATGTCCAACTCGGCCATATTCTTTTCATTTCCTATTTGAAAACGGTCTTGAAAACAACCAAAGTTTTAAATTTCGTCGAAAGTTGTCTAAAAAGGAAAAAAACATTGGATGGAAGTACCTGGACGTTCAGATATATTTTACACCTCTTTCCCAAGTTCCTCACCATGTATGTAGTCGCCCAATTTGAAGGAATACCAGGGAAAGGTATAGAAAAATGACTCATTCTCAAGACTTCTTCACCATGTAATTTAGCTAAAGTTAAAAACATTGTGAAATAGATGCTTATGAACATTCTTATTGTTGAGCTGGTCAAACAGTATCGATTCAGGTAGCTTCTAAAACTGGCTAGGCTTCTGAAGTGAGCCGTCATGGAAAATACGGCTCAAGAACCGATTTTCTGGTTTCCAGAGAACCTAAGTTAAGAAACGTTGCTTTCAATGAAGAGAAACTTACGCCAATCGGTAGAGCTCATCAAAATTCGTCGATTTAACTACGTTTCAGCAATGGCACAGCTGTTGGAGAGAAGTTTTGTAGGAAATTATTTTTTTTTCGATTTATGCTGTGGGAAAAATCTTTCTTTTTGCGTTTATTTTTTTGCAGTTGCTTTTATAAGAAAGAGTAATATGTGATCCGATGGAACTCTTAGGGGTGCATCTGGCTAACCATACCTCTGAAGTGGCTAAGTGGATGGAGTGAACCGTTTTGGCAAAACCCAAATCGGCTGCTAACTTTCCTTACATTCAAACATCGATCAGGATGTACTCATAAATTGTGACCTTTCTCAGACATATTGAACTATATAAGTCGAGTTAACAAATTATATATAATAATTTAAATACCTCATTCTTTTCAGCTATTGATGATCTATCTTTTGTGTATCGCGCGAAAAAATTCTTTCACTTGTTGAAGCATAATTTTAATAAACATTTATGGGACTATTTTTGATTAGGGTGTGACTGTGGCTATGTGTAACGCTCCCGATTGAGTGCATTGTATGCAGGACTTTGGACCTTTCCTTACTATTTCTTCTTATGTTATGTATTGTCCATATATTTCTGTCCTTACTCCGTACATTATGTTGTACTTTGTCGTTATCTCATTCCTCGTATTCTCTGCCCTTATTATCCTTTTCTTTCATATTCTTTTCCTCTCTCTGATGGTTGAGTATATAAGCGTATGCTTTGTATAAAAACGATGCGATTGTATGATACAAAGGCTTGGAATAAAGCATAATTCCATCTGCACTAACGTTCCTTCTATCTAAAATTGTAACACTGTGGTAGTGAGTGTCAGCGCAAAGAAGAAAGCACTGACATCCACACCCACCCACCCACATCCACACCTTAAGATCTTGAATTGATTCTTATTCAATTTAGAATTTGAATCAAATTAGAGATTCTAAACCTCCTGATGACACTCGTAGCTGAGTCGAAAAGCGTCGTGGCAGCTATCGTTACGTACACACCCTCATTGACATCGTGGTAGCTATACACACCCATGACAAGGTGTTTCTGCTTCATTAAATAAGTGCAAGACGGTATTATTTATAGATTTGAATTCCTTTGCAATTATACTTTTTGCACTAGTATCCTGCGTCACTGGACAAGACTGTTTCATCAACATCGAAATACCTGATATTGTGACAGCTATACACACCCAAATTAAGCCAAGTCCTTAAAAGGATGAACTCTAGAAAATGAGGTAGCTGTTATTGGAATCAAATATTGTGGATAGGCAGCTATGTTGGAGTCAGGGTGCGCTTCTCGTAGAGTGCGCTTTAGGGATTTTTCTAAGCAGCGAAATAATGCTTTTCTGAATTCTGACGATAGTATTGTCCTTAATCAGATTAAAATGATAACCAAAGCGTTATAAACCCTTAATTTTGTCTGAGCCACATATGTGGTGTATGGCCGCCGCAAAATGTCGACAATTCTGAGAGAGTACGTCATAATGTTGACCATCCCATAGGTCAATAAGTTTTGTTATTGCAGACCACGGTCGCCATGTGTAATGCACTGAACCCCATGCATCTGCACTTGAGCTTTTGTTTTTGCGTTTTTCAAGAACGTCGGAATAGCTATTCGCCACTTGGTGATTAATACGAATTGTTATACCTTTTTTGGCTACTTCCAATAAATGATATTTGCCGTCATTGGTTCCCAAAACAACTAACACATGATGAGCTTGACCGAACGCTTTACCGTTTCCATATAAATGAACATCGGTGACGTATGGTTGTGATATATTTGAATAGATAGCAAACAAATTTTAGAAACCAGAAAAAAAGAGAACAGATAGATTTCACCTCCACTATCATAATATCGACAGCCGCCTCCACAAGCACAACCAAACAAATTACAACGACGGAACCCACAGTAAGGTGTTGCCGGTGTTCCATCAGAGCAGTAGTCCATAGGTCCTGGGTAACAACATATTGATAGAGCTAGTTGTGTATTGAATATAATGGTGAAGACTAAAGGTATGATTATTGTTACTTTACAGTTGTCAGCAGAATTTCAATCTCATGCATCAAAAACAATTGTTGGACTTATCATGTTATACTTACCGACAACAACTAAAGTAAATAATTCTTTTGCCATACTAGCAATAAGAGTTCGAAGATACGTACTTGAATGAAATATACAAACTAAAAATTTCCATTATCAACATCCTATTCATACTTGCAGTATTGAAGAAGGAAAAATCTCGTATCTATTTGTTATAATGAGTACCAGCTGTGTATGGTATTTTCCTTTTTTCTTTCCCTCCTGCTATCGTACATAGATGACACGTGC